GTACTTTTTACTGTACTACATAAAGGTATATATTGTACTTTTTACTGTAGTACATAAAGGTAAATATTCTTACTGTACTACATTTATATGACAGCTTTAGATTAATAATCAAATACTCAATGATGTATTATTGTAGATTAAACTACCAACAGCATATAAAGGCATTAAACTTGGTAAAAGAGTATTTCTACACGGTGGTATATACTTTTACTGCAGTAAAGGAGTACTTCTTCCAGCTCTAATAACTTGCAGGGTCATCATAGTCCTGGTTCCTGATCACATGGTAGTAACATTCAGACAGACCTTAAATACCGAGGGACCAGGTTCAAGGTGACCCACGTGAGAGTCCAGCAGCTGGAACTGGACCTCGTAGTCCCCCAGCGGGGGCGGTTGTCTCTTCAGGTCCTGCAGAGCCAGTCGGACCGCCACGGACACGCCGGCTGTCAGGTTGTCCCCCACCGACATCCACAGCACAGGTAGAGGGTGGCGGACCTGAGCCAGAACCGGAACCACCAGGAGCCAGTAGACCGGTAGCAGCCTGAACGCCTCCAACATGTTCATGATCTGAACCTGGTCCCTGTGCTGCTCCTGCAGGGACCTGTAATCCTCAGTAAGCAGCCGGGAGATAAAAGGATCAACGTGGACACCAGATGTCACATCAGGGTCCTCTACACACCTCGCTAAGACCATGTTCACTAGACAGGAGATCTACGTCCTGCTGCTCCTTTAGACCGTCTGCATGTAGACCTCATCCTAGACTAGAGACGGTCTCAGTCCACAGAGGACACCTGAGGACACCATCACACATGTTGCTCTTTATCCTCTAATGTCCACCGTAAAATAAAATACACATTTAAAGTGACAGTGAGGACCCTTTAAGTGGTCCTGAACCAGTCTCAGTGTAGTCCTGATCCTCTATATGACCTCCATCAGTAAAAGAGACCATCAAAGAGAAGATTGTCTATTTCTATATAGTTATTCTTAATGCTCGTCATCGGGTCCACCGGACAGTGGACAGACCCAGATCCTCCAGCAGAGACTGGTCCACCGTGAACAGAACCAGATCCTCCAGCAGAGACCGGTCCACCGCGGACAGACCCATATCCTCCAGCAGAGACCGGTCTACAAACCCAGAGAACCAGAACTGAGAAGGTCAGCCTGTCAGACCCTGCTGCAGTAGAATGAGATGTTTTCTAAAGTGAGTCTGGTGCTCAGAGACACTACCACTTTAGTCCACAGGGGGCGACACAATCAACAACATGAACGTTCCTTGTTTTCAATAAATATAAATGAAGAGAAACAAAGAAAAGTTCTTTAATTATTTTACTCAGAAAAACAAAAACACTTTTACAAGAATAAAGAATTTATTAGTGAACTTGAAAATCTGTGTTGAGGCATTTTAAGGATCCTGTTTTAGTAAATTACCTAAAAATCAAACCATAAAGTCGTCTCATCGTGTCCTCGGCTCCTTTGGGACCAAGTCTGTCTTTTATCGAAATGTCCTCTTAATGTCCAAAGAAATGTCTTCTAAATGTCCAATTAAATCTCCTTTTAATGTCCTCGTAATGTCCTCTTCCTGCTGGTTCCCGGCGTTCGTCTTCACAACATCCACTCAGTTGACTCCACTCTGTCCTTTTAGGTCTCTGGACCGTCCTGTCTGCCGTCCGGGTCCCCGTCCTCTGGTTCCCCCCCCCCCCTGCTTCCTTTTGTGTCCTGGTCTCTGTCCCCCCCCATCCTCCTTGCTGGCCCACAGGGCGTCGTGGCGTCCCGGTTCCTGGTACCCGTTCTGGCTCTGGTCCAGCGTGTCCCTAGAGAGAAGGATCCAGATGGACGGAAGGTTCCTGCTGACGGTGAGACTGTCCAGTCCGGCGCTGGTCTCCAGGGGGTCCCAGACCTCATCCACGGTGCTGAACTGGACTCTGGTGAGCTGGTGGAGTCCTTTAACTCTCCGCTTCACGATCTCAGCACACGTGATGGCTTTGGAGACGCCCGTCCCGCTGGCCGTGAGGAGGATCTGTTTGCAGAGCGTCCGTCCTGCTTCCTGTTGTCCCTCCTTAGCCCCGCCCCCGTCCTCGGGTCGTCCCTCCTTCGCCCCGCCCCTGTCCTCGTTCTCGGCCGGTCTGGGTTTGTCCTCCATGTGACTCAGAGCGTAACGCAGAGGGTGACGGATCTTACCGCCGTCTCTGACTCGGACCTCCGGCGTGTCGGGGGGGAGACCGAGGAAGGGACATACGGACGGACGCTCCACCGTACGAGTCTTCTTGTAGTTCTCCATCTGAGGAGAGACAGAGACAGTCAGAGGACAGACAGAGAGTCAGAGGACAGAGGATCTGTTTCTGATTGACACAGAGGTTTATGAGCTTTATTAAACGTTCAATAAATAAAAGATGAACCTAAACATGACGTCACTGAACTAATGTCACAGAGATGTCATGTACTTCAGCTAATGTTCAATAAAGTGACAGGAGAGTGTGGCTAAGCTACATGCTACATGCCAACGGACTCACTTTGTGTTCACTGAAAGCTAACTTCCGGTATGAGCATGAAAACACACCAGAGTCAGAAGGGAAAAGAGTCTTCTCTGAAGTAAATCCATTAAACATTTTACCTGCTGGTGTTTTCTTGTTTCCTTTAGGCTGCTGATCTCCACATGTTTACTTCTGCTGCAACGCTTTACGTCACCGTCCAACGACGACAACTGTCGCAAACTGTCAGGTTTTACTAACCAGCTCTAAGGCAGAGTGGATAAGAGTAAAGTACACATATTACTGCAGTAAAAGTACTAATAACACAGTAAGTCCCTGGGGTTTCAGGTTTAAGGCTTTAGTGGCCGAAGAAGAAAAAGAAGAAGAGATTATTTCCGGCACGCCTGTAAACAAAATGCTCTTATTATGAAGGTGTACCGGAAGCGTGCAGCTCTTGTCCGTCATGGTGACCTGTGCTACGTCACCGGAAGTCGCTCCACGGTGGATTTTTGGAAGATGCTGAAGAAACGGGAGCTACTGGTGAGTTTAACTGTTTAACAGTTAGATACTCTTCAAAAGTCTTAATCCAGATTATCATAAAACAAACTCATTAACGTCTCTGAGTCCTTCCGGTACGTGTTCGGTTCTCCGTGGTCCGGGTTAGCATGCTGCTGTCAGCGGAGCTAACGTTAGCTTGTTAATGTTAACACTGAAGCTCAGCCTCGGTCTCATCGAGCATGTTAGCTAGAGGTGGAGCTAACATGCTAACTGAGGCTAACGTTAACGTGTGTGTGTGTGTGTGTGTGTGTGTGTGTGTGTGTGTGTGTGTGTGTGTGTGTGTGTGTGTGTCAGTCATACATTAATCAGACATCAGAACTCAAAGGTAAAGTTGTTTCTCTCTGTTCTAGTTTTCCGTATTAAATGTTCCTCATGAATCAGAAACACGTTTATGAATCAGTAAGTTATTAATTCTGAGGTGAAGTAGAACGTGTTCTTCAGGACGTTGTTTAGTTCTGCTGATGGTTCAGGATTATTGATCTTTCATGAGTTATTTGTAGATGTATTTGTGACTGGTGACACTAGGGGGCACTGAGCTCCAGGTTCAGGTCTACTGAAAAATTCAGGTATACAGGTGTGTCAGTCAGCTGATGCACCAGGAAGGGAACTGGTTTTATACCAGAGACACAGACCAGACCAGAGACCGGACCACTTAGAGACCAGATCCAAGAGAGACGGGAGGAGAAATATTTCCTTTTGGTCTCTAAAGACTGTAAATGCTCCCGTAGCTGTGCCTACGGTGTAGAAATGTGATGGACTCTGAATTGTAAGTCGCTTTGGATAAAAGCGTCTTTGGTGTCTTTGGTTTCTTTGGTTTCTTGGTGTCTTTGGCCTCATTAGTTACACAACAGCTGAAGGTTCACAACCAGAAAGACTGGATCTACTTCTGATCTGAGATCAGATAAGAGAACGTTTCATTGTGAGGGAAACTGTTCACAAAGTTACAGCTGAGGACTGTTGATAATGAATGCAACTGTTGATAATGAATGCAACTGTTAGATGTTAGATAACAGAGTTAACAGAGTTAAAGCTTCTCTTCTCCAGCTGTGATTTGTTGAACGTAGGTGAGAAATACCTGAGAACCAGTTTCTCACGCTGCTCAGTGAGCGGAGACTCAGGGGAGGACTGTTTATACTGGGAACCAATTAGATTCATGAGGGGTAGGAGTAAACATGCTGGTGTCCTCTTGTCTGTCTTCCATTCAGCTCTGTGCCCTCCTGTCTGTCCTCCCCGGTCCACTAAAGTGTGTCTCTGTGTGTTGTCTTGCAGCTTTCCCAGAGACAATTCAGTGAAGATGAGACCATGATCCCCGTACTAACCTCCAGAAAGGCCAGCGAACTCCCCGTCCACGAAGTAGTGTGTGTCCTGCAGGTACGCCGTCCTCAGACCAGCTGTGTCCTCGCTGTTCTGTCCACGTTGTCTTTAACCCGTCAGTCCACTGGTCTGACATGTCTGTCCTCTCGTTGTGAAACAGGCAGACCTGCAGGTGGGTCTGAACCAGGAGGAGGTGAGCCGGAGGAGAGCCTACCATGGCTGGAACGAGTTCGACATCAGTGAGGAGGAACCGCTATGGAAGAAATACATCTCCCAGGTAACCTGTCCTTCACTGACATGAGGGTCCACAATGTCCACAGTTTCCACTTGGTCTACAATGTCCACTTGGTCTATGGTGTCCACATGGTCTACAATTTCCACTTGTCCACTTAGTCTATGGTGTCCACTTAGTCTATGGTGTCCACTTAGTCTACAGTGTCCACAGGGTCTATAGTGTCCACAGGGTCCACTGTGTCCACAGTGTCCACAAGGTCTATAGTGTCCACAATGTCCACTTGGTCCAGATCAGTTTGTCCTCGTTTGCTGCTGAAGAAATGTCCAGAGTCTCATCTTTGTTTTGTGAGACAGAATCTAACAGAAGATGTCATGTCCACTGATGACATCACACAATAATGACTCGTATGAATGAGGACATTCAAGAGACAGACGCCGCCCTGCTGAACTAAAGACATGTCAGTCGGAGACGCCGTCCTGTAACTAGTGTTCAGTCGGAGACGCCGTCCTGTAACTAGTGTTCAGTCGGAGACGCCGTGGAAAAAACACACCAACAAAGTCCCTCAGGCTGCCTTCAGTATGTGACAGAGTCGTGGTGCGTTCAGGTTTTTCTGGTCTGATGAGTCCTCTGTGTTTCATGTTGCAGGTTCCTTAAGGACTGACATGTCTTTAGTTCAGGTGTCTGTCTCTTGAGCACAGTAAACTTTGGTCCACTATGACGTCCTTCAGCTCAAATCATGTCAAACTGGTTTCTGGAGTTCACTGGCCTGATTTGACGTCATGTTTTTACTGATTAATAATTGCCACGAACTCATGACGTCGGACGGACGGACGCACGGACGCCATGAGCCTGACGGAGTTAACCAGGGAACACGGGGTGAGGATCCCGCCGCTGTTCAGGTGTTTGCAGTGGGGGAGCTTGTCGGCCACAGCCACGTGAAGTCCGCAGCGCGGATGAACAGCGCTGTGGTCATCTTTCTAGACACCATATAAACTGCGGAAGTGGTGTTGATGACCGGGATCTCCGTGGGTGAACACTTCCTGCCCACGTATCCTCTCAGCTCACCGGAAGTGAAAGTCACCGTGTCCAACGTGCCACCATTCATAAGGAACGATGCAATAATCAAAGAGCTGTCCAAACATGGGAAGGTGGTGTC